ATCCTTTCCCCAGAGTACTAATCTCTTTTTCATTCCCTTTCTCCACCCACATACCAATGTTTACAAGCTTCTGTCCAGATCCACCCTTGGCCACCATCATCCCCTCACCTGTGCCCCATCTGCCATTATCAGTATCACGAGTCTCGTCCAACAGCAGTCATAACTTATGCTTGCATCCTATTCTATTACAGTAATAACATAATCCAATTGAAGGGGATTAGCCTCTCCAGAAAAAAAGTAAGTGTAAACTTTTCAGGATTAAGTTATACTTGACTTACATCAGTGTCTTGCTGAGTTTTCATCTAAAGTCACATTGCCAGGAGCTTTATATGCTAATATCACACATTCAATAGATTAAAGCATGGAGCATGTCAGTTCAGTCATACTTTATTTTAATGTCCAATTCTCACTACTAATTAACTATTAACTATGACTTTTGCCTCAATAAACTCCTAATTTTCTGCTTACTAATAGTTAGTAAGGTAGTTGTCAAGTTATTGGGTAAGATTAAGGGATCAAAAAAATATGGTCATGCAGAATAAGGCATTAATGTGCTGTATAAGTACTAATAAACAGCCACAATGCTGACACTATGTGCATGCTAATAAACAACTAGTTAATAGTGAGAACGGGTTCTTAAAATAAAGTGTTACCATCCGTTCATATATGTACCACACTGATTCATGAAAATTTAAATTAAAAATGAAATATATAAAATTTATGACTTAAGAAAACATAGCCCTGTTTCAGTTCATTTAACAAGAATTACAGCATCTGCAAGACACATTCCCAGCTGTATTCTAATACCTTTAAATGCAAATAAATAAATAAATAAATAAATAATGTCCCCAGGAAAAAAGAAAAAAAAAATCACAAAAACCAATACTGACAATAGCAAAATCTTATATGATAATGGATGCTATTTAGTCAGCTATTCTGAAAATCTTTGAAGGCGAATAGCTATTATTTTCTAGGACGGCACTGCTGCACACAGCAATCACTGTAAATGGCATGAAGTTTGCACTTCTCTTGACACACTTATGGTTTTATTGTGACACTTAGGATGTGAATTTTTATGAGCACTTGAGCACTGTTAAGCGGACACTAGGCTAAATTCAGTGAAAGATGTCCCCAGTGTCTTATTAAGTTTTCTTATTAAGTGGAAGATTTCAACAGCGTGACTTATGAATCATGCCAACATTAAAATCTTTCAATCTAACGTCTACAGTCAAATATTTTGTTATGCTGAATTAACTACTGTAGGCCTGCTAAATGACACTGTTGGGACATTTTATTTGCTACCAAATCACAACTCTAACAGTTAGGGATGTAACGGTATGAAAATTTCTTATCACAATTATAGTGACCAAAATTATACAACTAGTTAATAGTGAGAACGGGTTCTTAAAATAAAGTGTTACCATCCGTTCATATATGTACCACACTGATTCATGAAAATTTAAATTAAAAATGAAATATATAAAATTTATGACTTAAGAAAACATAGCCCTGTTTCAGTTCATTTAACAAGAATTACAGCATCTGCAAGACACATTCCCAGCTGTATTCTAATACCTTTAAATGCAAATAAATAAATAAATAAATAAATAATGTCCCCAGGAAAAAAGAAAAAAAAAATCACAAAAACCAATACTGACAATAGCAAAATCTTATATGATAATGGATGCTATTTAGTCAGCTATTCTGAAAATCTTTGAAGGCGAATAGCTATTATTTTCTAGGACGGCACTGCTGCACACAGCAATCACTGTAAATGGCATGAAGTTTGCACTTCTCTTGACACACTTATGGTTTTATTGTGACACTTAGGATGTGAATTTTTATGAGCACTTGAGCACTGTTAAGCGGACACTAGGCTAAATTCAGTGAAAGATGTGCCCAGTGTCTTATTAAGTTTTCTTATTAAGTGGAAGATTTCAACAGCGTGACTTATGAATCATGCCAACATTAAAATCTTTCAATCTAACGTCTACAGTCAAATATTTTGTTATGCTGAATTAACTACTGTAGGCCTGCTAAATGACACTGTTGGGACATTTTCAACTCTAACAGTTAGGGATGTAATGGTATGAAAATTTCTTATCACAATTATAGTTACCAAAATTATCACGGTTATCAGTATTATCAGGGTATTGTTAAAATGTGCTGGAGATGTTCAAAAAGTACCGAAATATAAATCACTTCAAGTTTTATATTTAAAAATCAACAAACAAAATGACTTTTCTGTTTGCATAATCACTAAAACAATAACATTACCCATGATGTTCGGATTTTAAATGACAACTTGACAGACAACAGTTTAATAGCATGTTGAAATATCTAATGTAAATGTTCAAATAAAGCTTTGAAAAAGTTTCATAAAAAGGTAAACCTCACATTTCAGCCTTTAAATAAAGAAAATATATAAGTCAAAATGATTATAATGATTAATAAATGATTATATGTATTTTATCTGCTCCATAAATAATTCTAGATAACTTATCTGAATTGTTTAAATGTGTAGAATCCACATAAGCTTGTTTTTCATCAACCAGTCAAAATTTAAAGAAGGGCATGCAAATTCGGTCCGTTTTTGGCCAGACAGAAACTGCACACAGACTGAATGTAAATATAAGTCTCTGTAAATCCACTCGCTGACAGCAGGTGGCGCTTATGGAAAAGCAGAATTAGAGCTGTTTCCGTAACCTCCGTGGACAAAGCAGTATTGCGATTAAGAAGACTTCTTTTAGGTATTACATGGAGTGAAGATGAAAACAAATGCCATTGAATCGTTTCTGAAGATAGTCAGAATCTTCAGAGGTACATTCATAATTAATTCATTCATATATTATTTTTTATAATTCCCTTGGCACTCTTTTAAAACCTCCCAGCTTTTCCACCCTGTTTTCACTCAAAACAAAACTACTCTGCGTGCTATGCTGGACAGTATTTATTTATCGCAAGTTGTTCAAATCGCGGTAATCTAATACGGTTTTAATGATAATTAAAAGATGAAATGGTAATACTAACCGTGGGGAATTTTATCATGATTTATCGTCAAACCAGTAGTCGTTACATCCCTACTAACAGTATAACACCTTTTTTTTTTTTTGCCTCTATTTTGTGATACTCACCCACAAGCAACGTTTCTCATTTTCATTAAGTTTAATGTCATTTACTAAAATAATTAAAGCTAAAATTGAAATATAAATGAATGAATAAATGATGGAATCAATGAATAAATAAATAAATTTATATTTATATGATAAACACAGAAATAAAAACTAATTAATAAATAGATATAATTATATTTTAAGTATATTTATGATACTACAGCATGGTACAGCATTTAATGGTTCCCAAACATTCCAACTAAAATCTCCCATATGCCTATTGATTGGAAAGAACAGGAGACAATAGAAAGGCCTTATTATTGAGATAACTTTAAGATTAGAGAGTAAGACTGTGAGTTACAGTAGTAGAACATTTAAGGAGCTTATATTCAAATACCCTTTCATTATCCTCCAGCTTGTATCCACATACAATCATACAAACACTGAATATGTAAGAGTAAATGTTGATTTTTCTGCCTTTTTTTCTGCTGGAGTGGCAAAAGATCAGACTGCTTCTAACCATATGTTCAGCAGAGGAGTAAAAATAAATCATGCAATAACATCTGTCGCTGTTTGCTATAATCACAGCAAAAACGCAATGTGTGTTCAGTTGCATTTGAGTGCATATAAATACAAACATAAATTACATTAGGCTTGTAAAATAAACTCATAAAGATAAAAACAGCTTCATGAAATTGCCATTCTTTTAATATGATACTACCAACGAAAATACTGTTTAATAATAAGGGCAAATATCCATAGCCGACATCCCATGGCCTCATCGGGATAGTAAAGAGTCCACTGGATGTGCACTTCAAAATCTTAGCAGAAGTAGTAGTATTTCTTACTATTGCTAACACACTGCTTTTTGGCTAACTACTGTATATAGTGGAGAAGTGCCCCCTCACTTTGTGCGCTCTGGAGCCAACCCTGATAGAGGCATTTACATTTTGACATCCTAAAAACAGACTTTAGTCACATTCACTGTAATCAATTAATTAACGAAATGTACTGTATCCTAACTGCGTGAGCTTAATCAGACTTATCCTTATTTTTTACCAAAAATATTCTTTTTTTTTTTTTTTAAATCTGTGCTTCTCATCCGTTCTGCACTGTCTATGGGTAGTGCAGCTTCACCATACATATTTAACTACGCGCACAGCTAAATAAAACAGACTGGGTACTGATATTTCTGTGAAACGCGTTGTGCAAGCCTGATCTAGGACCTATATATAGGACCCATACAGCAGCAGAGGACTATTATTTTGTTGAACGAACTGAGGATGACGTCACATGCTCAGATTTGGCGGAAAGGGGCATGTCAAGACCGCCCACAAGGGGAAAACTAATTTTGAAGTCGTTTATCCGTTTTCTACCCGTGAACCAAAAAAAACTAAAATTGAGCCAAAATCTCGATTTTTTTTTATTTTTTTTTGAACAATTTCTGCTTATTTCATTTCAAACTGAGAAATAAACTATCAAAACGTACACTGACCTTATTGGTAGCCTACGTATTTCGCGTCTCGCGAAAAAGTGCCCCTAGGTACGTTTTTGCCATGAAACCAGTTAGATTTTAGCAAAATATATATATTTTTTAAGTTTCTAAATCGGCACTGTATATTTACTTGGGGCATTCATGAACAAAGCTAGAATCTTCCCAACACTGAAAAAAAATTGATTAAACACACTTGCTGCAGTATAAACACAGTGTTAGACTGGTTTCAGATCCATCTAAAATTGGACATGTTTACATGAGATGCATTCATGTGTTCAAAAAAGTGGAGCACAATGAGTTTCAAATTAATGCAACTACAGAACTCATCCAACATCCCATCCCTAAATAAAATCAAGCAGAAACAACACTGTACAATCACTGCATGAACTTACTGTGTTGGCAGTGGATTCCGTTGAAGCCTGATGGGCACTTGCAGACATATCCAATGAATGTGTCGCCCCTGAACGTTTCACTGATTTCACAGGTGCCTCCATTGTGACAAGGGTTTGGATGGCAGGGTCCTGTAATTTAGACAAAATAGAAATAAGCAAGTGGGCTGAAGTGTTTTTGATGTATGTAAGTGTTCACATCCCACATGATGGGTTAGATAAATAGTGGGTTAGAAGCAGGCATCAGCAGTTTATAACATGGCCTGCCGTGGAAGTGCTTGTATCTCTGTCTACAGTGGTTCAAGTAACAACCTCTGTGACATACGGGGGGGGGGAAGATAAACGATTGAACACACTGAAGGAAAGGATGAAACGAGACAGAGTCACAGAGAGAAAGAGAGAAATGTAAGTATAAGCATCACTTGCTGAGGTCACCATGGGGCCGCTTGAGGGATAAATGATATCATGGGCACTGCATTACCTCTCCTGGCACTGTGTCAACACACAGACAGACAGAGAGAGAGAGAGAGAGATAGATAAAGAGAGAGAGAGAGCGAGAGAGAGAGAGAGAGAGAGAATGAGTCCTGGCATTTCACTTAATCGTTATAAACTGTCAGAGTTAAATCGGAGGAGAAATTAATAGATGAGTATGTGAAAAGGTCAAGGGAGTGTTATGGGAGCAATGCTCTTTGACAGGATGCCAGTTTAATGACATTTTAGTGAACGATGGATTCAGAAAAGGTGTGACACATATGGCATTTAATATGTAACTAGATAATATCTGTCATACATACATTTATTGTAATGTACCTTGACAGGAAGATTGTCTCCTCCAGCTGAATCTGGTTCCTCTCAAGGTTTTTACACTGTATAGAACATTGTAGAGTCAAATTTATATCCTTAATTTAAGTAAATATTCTGAGTGAATTTAACTTAATCTGTCATGATTTATCAATAGCACAATTACTTAGATTGTTTTTGATTAATCTTTCTATGTAAATTGCACAATTACATGCAAACCTCAATACACATGTTGTTCAATTTGAACTATATTTGTGTAATTGTGTAATATGTATCTATTGCTATGAGAATGTACACTATTGTTCAAAAGTTTGGGGTCAGTAAGATTTTAAAATTATTTTGAAAAAACTCTCATGCTGTCAAGGCCATAGAGAGAGAGCATAAAATAATAATAATAATAATAATGATAATGATAATGATAATGATAATAATAATAATAATAATAATAATGTGAGATATTTCTATTTTAAAATGTAATGTATTCCTATGATGGCAAAGCTGAATTTTTCACATGATCTTTCAGAAATCATTCTAATATGTTGATTGGCTTAAGAAACATTTATTATTGTTATTATTATTATTGTTGAAGCAGTTGTGACGCTTTTTTGAGGTGTTGATTTTTGTGGAAACTGATATGTTAAATGGAACAGTATTTATTTGATATAGAATTTTTTGTAACATTATAAGTGATTTTACTGTCATTTTTTATCAATTTAATGCATGTTTGCTGTAAAAGTATTAATATGAATTAATTAAAAGTATTAATTAATAGAAAAATATTGACTGAACAAAGTACTAGTTTTCTGTAAATTCAAATTCTGTAAACTCAAAACTTGAATAGAATAAGTGATTTTACTGTCATTTTTTATCAATTTAATGCATGTTTGCTGTAAAAGTATTAATATGAATTAATTAAAAGTATTAATTAATAAAAAAATATTGACTGAACAAAGTACTAGTTTTCTGTAAATTAAAATTCTGTAAACTCGAAACTTGAATAGAATGGTGGAGTAGAGAGATGTATTACAGAGACATGATCAATGTGCTCTTAAGTGCAAAGACAGACTAAATGTAGATTGTTCAAAATACACACATTTCATATTGGGTCCAAAGCAGAGGAGCTCTGGATGAGAGTCTTGAAAATGTTTGATTGTGTGACAGTAGGATCTTTGAAAGATAGACTACTGCTCAAAAAATTGGGGTGAGTAAGATTGATTGATTGATTGATTGATTTCAATACTGTTATTTAGCAAGGATGCATTAATTTGAGCAGAAGTGACAGTAAAAAACATTTATAATAATTAAACAAACAAACTATTTCAAATAAATGCTGTTCTTGAAATGCATTTGAATTTTCTATTCAACAAAAGATCCTCAAAAAATTATGGGTTTAACAAATAATAATAATAATGCATGTTTATTGAGTACCAAATCAGCACTACAATTATAACTAAACTAAAAGAGAAAAGAAAGTATAGAATCTAATAAAAAAATAAAAAAAATAAAATAACAGTATATAATTTATACTAAAATAACACTGGGATCATGTGACACAGATCTTTTCAACTATCTATCAAATAATAAGACGACAGGGAAAGACGAGAGAGGACCAGGCCTGGATCGGAACAGGACGAGCAGAGAGTTCATAGACGGCCTCCTTGGCCGGAACAGGACGAGCAGAGAGTTCATAGATGGCCTCCCTGGCCGGCGAACACTCAAACAAAACTTTAATAATAAAATAAACTCAAAACAGCGCGACAGCCCCTCGCGGACGACTGTCGCGCACAAACAAAACCAAAACACAAAATAAAATCCAGGCCTGGTCCTCTCTCGTCTTTCCCTGTCGTCACTCCTCTTTTGTATCCTTCCGGAGCTCCTCCGTGAGACTCGAGACCGGTGAGTGGCGCAGGTGTCGCGCATTCGCAATTACTCCACCGGCCTCGCTCCGTTCCCACGGCTCTCGGCCCCGCCCCTCTCGTCACAGTTACATAATAAGAAATGTTTAAGCAGCAAATCATCGCATTAGAATGATTTCTGAAAAATCATGTGACACTGAAGAATGTAAAAAAATAAACTATGGAATAAATTACGTTTTAAAATATTAAAACAGAGGACTTTTATTTAACATGTAATAATAATACACAATATTACTGTTTTTACTGTCTTTTGGTGAAATAAATGCAGTCTTGGTGATCATATAAGATGTAAATCTTCTTACATGGTTTTACAAATGGAAACATTACATGAACTTAGGCCAATTTGTTATAAAAATTCTCAAACACACACATACTAAACATCAATAGCAATTCTTAAACTATTCAATAGTTATTCAAAATACATTCACAATAAATGATTAAGGCATGATGGTTAAACATGTGGGTTAGATACATGATATGGGGTTAGATATGTAGCAATGGTTAGTTGCTCGAGTCCTTTAGATGCATATTCACATGGAAATGAAGTTTCTTTTGTGTTAATGTTGAAAACTGTTCTGTGACAGGGGTTTAGGTTTAGGCTTGCTTCAGAGGGCTAATGCCTGATTTATGACATCCTGTTGTCTTGGGCCTCTGTGGAATTTTTGTGACTCCTCGTGCCTCAACTCGGTTTTGACCAAATCTTAGATTGTCTGATTCGGTCTGATATCCTACAACTATTACATTATCTGATTGTTTCAAAGGAACAAAATTATCCAATAATCACTTGATTAAGTCAACTGATTACTAAAATCAACAATAACAGGGTAAATATGGGACAATATTTTTTGTAATACTAATTTTAAACAATATGTATTGTAAAAATAACATGAATTTAATTTTGAGTGATGTGATTTTCACATATTGGCTCTTAATGGTTTGAGTGTCTCTACTCCAGATGGAAAACCACTTTGATTTCATCTATCGCCTTGAAAAAATTAAAAATAAAATAAAAAATGAAAGTGTTGTAACAAAAATGCTGATTTCACTACTAACAGCTTTAAAACCAACATTCAGGCACTGGACTGACTGTTCTAGAGTAGCTTCTAATCTCTTAGTCTTCTCAAATCCTGCATTTACAAGCAAGCCAACCTCATAAAAACCCCCGGAGGGCCCATATCTCATGGCCTATCAATACCATACTGATGTTTAAAACATTAGAGTGCCTGCATCAGGATGCATGCTGTCAAATGTTGCTTGATGAAATTGCAGGGCAGTCAGTTTAATCTTTCAAAATATCAGCAGCAAGTTCTACGGGAGGGCATGGGTGGAGTAGAGAGATGTATTACAGAGACATGATCAATGTGCTCTTAAGTGCAAAGACAGACTAAATGTAGATTGTTCATTACTGTCTTTTGGTGAAATAAATGCAGTCTTGGTGATCATATAAGATGTAAATCTTCTTACATGGTTTTACAAATGGAAACATTACATGAACTTAGGCCAATTTGTTATAAAAGTAAAAGTTAGTGGTGTTCTTAGAAAACGTCTCTAGGTTACATATGTAACCATGGTTCCCCCGAGGGAACGAGACGCTGCGTTGAGATTCACTTTGGGAACTCCCCTGCGTGACCGCGTTCTGAAGCATGTGTAAAATCAGTCCAATGGAGCAGCGAGACGTCACGAGCGGGGTGACGTGAGTGCCAGGAAGTATAAAAGCTCATCCGGCAGAGCGCAAATTAGCTGAAGTAGCGCCTGGAGGGATGCAGGGAGTATGGCAAAGAGACGCAGTGTCTCGTTCCCTCGGGGAACCATGGTTACATACGTAACCTAGAGACGTTCCCTTTCAGGAACTCAAGCTGCGTCGAGATTCACTTTGGGAATGAGAATACCCTCTGCGCCATACTACCAAGTCCCTGCCTGTGTGTATCAGATGAGCACATCATGAAGAAAGAACTTGGGAACCTGGGGTAGATGCCAGGTCTAGGTTATAGAAGCGGACAAAAGTGTGCAGAGAGGACCAACTCGCCGCAGCACAAATGTCCTGCAAGGCCACACCCAAGTTGAAAGCCTTGGAGGCCGCCATACTCCTGGTCGAGTGCGCTCTGACCCCCATAGGTGATGGGAGGCCAGAGGACTCGTAGGCTAGTGAGATGGCCTCGACCACTCACCTACTCATAGTCTGCTTGGTCGCCGGA